TGGATTGATGGCTTAATCAAACTGATCACCTCCTTCAATCCGATTGAGCTCAATCCATCTGTAAGTCTACATTGGACCAGCAGTTTTATGTTTGATGATGGGGTATGCTTATCCCAAGAACCACCATGGTTGGATGGCCCACTGGGCTAACATACACAGACTTGGCTATAACAATCTCAACCATACCTACTGGCTATTTACTGTCTTTAATTCACCTATCCTGTCTTTGGATAATGGGGGAAACCATGACAACACAAGAGCCTGGCTCACCGTCCCGCCTTCGGGCTCACCGTCCCGCCTTCTAATTTGAGCTTGATCCTAAATGAACTCCAATCTGATTAAAATTGGTGATGTAGATCTTAATGCTATAAGAAGATAATAATCTAATTATTATGAACAATAATAATTTAAGCCATGGAAACCCTTGGATCTAACAACTTTCTCGATCGGATTCAAAAATCTCACACGTGCAGTGCTGTGATGTTTAAATATGGTCGATTTTCATATTTTGTTCAATTTAGAGGGCATTATATATCACAATTAATAGAGATAGAGGAGAAGACTCACTTGAGGTGTGTCTTGTATTGGCTGTCACTCACAAAAGTTGCTGTTCATTTGTATAAATTTCAGAATCTGAAATCGGATTGGATTTATTCGGATTGACAAAAAATTGTGTATGTAAACATGCCTGTTGTAAAACAAACTTTGCAAAAATATATCACTGGGGCACTGCCATCATAGGTGCACAGATGTTCCTTATTTACACTTAAAGCAGCACTTACTCTATAGTTTTTTCAACCTTTATAATGTTTTTCCAAAACCCTTAAGATGGTACATTGACTTACAATAGGTTGAATGACAGGTCTGCCATAGTTTGACAGTGTCTGTATCGCTTTTACTGGCACTCTGTAACTTTGAGGTGCGGTTAGGAACCCGAGCACAAAAAGAACTACAAAATTCAACTGCTTTACGGCATACATCACTTCCCCCACTTCCTCAAATTCCGACGCGAGATCCCAACGAGCGTTTTTTTGTTTTTTTTGTTTTTTTTACCTGTGTATGTTGTCATGGCTGAAGCAGCAAGTAAAACCAAATGTGAATTGCGTCAGAAACAGAGCGTGCGGGCGATCAGTTTACTGTTGGTAATGTGTTGTGTAGCTTTGCACCTCACCGCATCCAGTGTAGACTCCATTGCATTATTTTGAGGGCGCTTAAGACACTCAAGCATCCCCGTAGAGCAGGGGCGGGCAGCTCGAGACGTGAAAGTATACTGATTACTGAGTTTGGTAGGGACTACATTCTTGCAAGTAAATAATACATGATTAGATGGACAAAATAATTGGTCATGATAACTATCCTATGTCTGCAGGCTGAAAGTCATGTTTGTTACTTATTTTTCTGGTGAAAGTGTCTTGCCTCAGGCTATAATGGAAATCGATTTTTCAAATTTGCAGATTCATCTATGGTAGCTTGATAGCATAATATTGATGACATGGCTATTATCTACCAACAAACATTGAATTGAATTAGCATATCCATTATGTACAACAGTAGCCAGATAGGCTAACGTTACTATAAAGATGCTGGCTTGTGAACGTGAGCTACGCAATCTTTTGACTTTTGAAAAAAATAAAGCCCATGATGACACTATATTCATAAGACATGCTGAAATATATGCCAATATACCTGGGGTGAAGACTTTTCACACGCAACACTGGAGTCTGCCCAAGATGTGAGAACTCCTTCCTTCTGCAGAGTTCGGGGGTATCGCTTGTTAACAAATGCACACACGTATTCCCTAGTGTAACCATGACAGATTTTACGACAGTAGTAGAAGACAATACTGTTTCCCAACTGTAGGGGGACCCCGAGAGCAAAATTAGAAAAATTACAGAATGATGCTTTAAAGACAGCACCTATACCCCTTTTTATACTTCTTAAGGTACTAAATGAACTCTTAAGGTATTACTAATATGGACCCTGTTGGGTTGTAGGAGTAAAAGGTACATATTCCTTCAAGGGTACTGCTGGTGTTACAAAGTTGAACATTATTGCTAATGGGTTCATGTAGAAAGTGTACAGTAGCAATCTGGTGACATTTTGGGTTCTTTCATTTATGTTTTCTACATTTTGCCTTTGCTTTTTAGACTAGACTCACATTCTGAAACAGATACACCTCATCATGTCTGATGTGTCAGCTGCATGTTCGCAGATGTGTAATAGAGATGGAGGACTGACTACAGTATCTGAATGACAGACTTGAGTAATGGGGTAAAGGAGCAGAGGAAATATGGAAGGATGTGTTCACTGACAGAAACTCCCTCCCACCTCAGGTCGGGCGGCCAGATGTGTAGTGTGTTGGACTGCAGGACATGTGATTGGTAGCAGATGTATCCACTCATAATCTCTCACCTTCTCAAGCCGCTATGATATAATCTGCATTATTTCAGTCCCGTTGAAATGCATTATTTCAACCCGTTACAACAGGGCTGATAATTTTGAGAGAAAACGTCCTTTCTAGAATGTGCTAGTAATGATGCTAATTTGAATTGGCAGAGATTGCTGGCGATGTATTCAAGATCTGTGTGTGTCAATAAGTGAAGGTAAAACAATGGCCTGTGTACATTATGATCATGCACATAATACATAAGCACACTGTGCATAATTTGAGCCAGATCTTGCTGGATCCTGGTCAGGAAAATGTCAGATTTTGGATTTTGCATTCCGGCAGTTGTATGTTAACAAGGGCAATACATGGTGACAGCTTACAGTTTATTGTTTTGCATGCTGTGAACTGTGGAAAGTTTGGAGAGTGTAGCTAAGAAATTATTCCAATAAAAATTAGTTAATATTGCCAAAAGGTCAGAAAGGCAGTCAAGCACATTTTCATTTTTCATTTCCATGATGAGCTGATGGTGTTTCTGATCAAAAGAGGCCCTGAATAGATGGAACTACATCCCAAGACTGTTCTACTAATAATAATCAGGATAGCCAGAGACACCAGCAATGGGTTAGATCAGTCAGAAATCGATGCTCTTATAGTTGTGCCATCACTGCAGTATAATTTATATTTTAATTTAAGTGATTTATCCATTAATACATATATATATATATATATATATATATATATATATATACAGGGGTTGGACAATGAAACTGAAACACCTGGTTTTACAACACAATAATTTGTTAGTATGGTGAGGGCCTCATTTTGCATCCAAATACAGCACCAATTCATCTTGGGAATGACAGATAGAAGTCCTTCACAGTGACCAGAGGGATTATGAGCCGTTCCTCTTCCAGAACAGTGTCCAGGTCACTATATGATGCTGGTGGACTCGCTCCTCCAAAACACCTCAATAATATTTAGATCTGGTGACTGTGCATGTTCAACGTCACTTTCATCTTCATCAAACCCTTCTGTCACAAGTCTTGCTGTGTTTGTTGGTGCATGATCATGCTGATACACGGTTTGAGCAGCAGGTGCTCATGATCCTCCAGAAGGGTTTGGTACTCCTCGGCAGTGTCGTGTCCATCAAATACAATCAGGATTGTCATGACATTGGAGCTCAAACCATCACTGATCCACCCGTGCTTCACTCTGAAGATTGGCCGCCAGGCATATAGATGTGAAACCTCCAACATTGGCCAGTGTTTCAGTTTCATTGTCCAACCCCTGTATATATATATATATATATATATATATATACATATAAGTACAAATATTACTACATATTTACTAATATTAACATAATAATTGATGCCACCAGCTAATATTTCACTAAATTCCGTATTAATGTGGCCACCCATATATTGTACTTACCTGATTTACACGGTACCATTCAAATGTTTTGAAAGACGTCTCCTGATGTCACCATTATTTTCAGTTTGTTTTGTTCTTGGAATTTTAATTTGTAATCCTTCAGTTGCTGGTTTCTCTTTGTTAAAGTTCCCGCCACTCGTTAGTTTTCACACCCTGTGTCGTCTTCTGTCTGCCTGCGTACATCTGGGACAGATGACTGGACCACTAAATTTGGGCTGGGACCGAGAGCACCAATTTCCTCTCCTTTGCTGCAGGTTATCGTCGTCTTGCCATCACCAGGCCCCTCGTTAGGTGCCTGAAGAGCTTCTGGCCCTGATTCAAAGCACAGCCAGACCCAGAGCTGAAGAATTTGCAAGAGCCCCCTGCAGACGTTGAGGGACCACCCGCTGCGACGAGTGATACACGAGAAACAAGAGAACACTGGGTTCCATCGTCCCACCGGTTCCCCTTTGGTTAGTCGTTGCTCTACTTCCATCCGCTGTGCTCCGCCCCTCCTCCCCTACGGCTGCAGCTGGTTCCTTCTTCCCTTCAGGATTCCCTTTGTCCTCGGTCACACCGGCATCGCCCCAGTCCATGGGTACTCTGTCTACAGCGCTCGTCACTGTGGAATCACCTGGGTCTACAGCACCAGCGATGTCGCTCAGGTCCATCTGTCCTAGTTCCTCCGTCTGCGCCATCGCAATTCCCACAACTCATTAGTTTCTATGGTTACTGTCATTAGGTTATTTGGTTAGCTGTGTACACTTATGCTCACCAAGGCTGCATTTATTTGATCTAAAGTAATTGTTTTAAAACATTTTCCAATTTTAATTATTGCTGGTGACAAAGCTGAATTTTAGCAACCATTACTCCAGTGTTACGTGAGAATAAAAATGATACGCACAAGAAAATGTATTATTATTATCAAAAGCCGCCTTTCCTTTTGGGTTGGTACTCGGTGTTTACATCGCACCTGGGGTTCAAAAAAAAGTTCCTGGGACAAATAGTTCCTGGTAATTTCGGTGGAAACGCGGCTAATGTTGAAATCAGTTGTGCTGCTTCATGTTTCTGTGAAACTTTTTTTAGGGATTCTTTGATAAATAGAAGCACTCAAACAGTACTGTATTTCTGTGCATTCGTAATTCAACTTTTCCCAGTTAATCCTGTCTATAAGCCTATTTTTTTCTGTCTCAAACAGGTGTTCCATTGATTGATGGGGGTACTGTGAGATTGCCACAGCTGATTGGTCTTTCTCGAGCTCTAGATCTCATTCTCACAGGCCGACCGGTGAAGGCGCAAGAGGCTTTAACATTTGGACTGGCAAACAGAGTGGTGCCCGATGGCCAAGGTACACATACAGTACTCCCTGAAACTTGCTTTAGCATGATGAGGTGTATCCAGTCCTTCTCTGGCCCTATGAGTGTGATTCAAACCAGGATGTCTGGCATGGGAGGTTAAATGTGTGGTTTAAAGGGCACCTATTATGGCATTTAAAATGTTCTTAATATTGTTCTGGGAGTCCCCAACAACAGTTTTACATGAATGCAATGACAAAAAACACTTTTGTTGTCTTATAATATGCATTTATTTTTACCTGATTTGCTCACCGACTCCCAAATGATTCTTACAACGACTCATTTTTCCAAACCACTCCTTTGCGTGACGCTAATCGGCGGTGATTGGTCAGATGACCCAAATTAGTCATTGTTTTTTAGCCCAACGCATAAATATATTGATAAAGCACTGCAGTACTACAAGACGCTCTATTCTTTATGACAACTCCAATAACAGCGACAAACATTTCACATATTTAAAAAAATTTACATTGAGACTTAGAAGCTGCGCTGAGCGTAACTTACACACACACACACACGCACACATACTTATTGCGCCTTCCCTCCTCGCACCCCGACGCTACAAAACCCATAAAAGCAACAATTATTAATAATACTTACCGGTTGTGATTCGGAGTAGGAAGCTGATCCATATACACTGGGTACTGAGACCTTTAGGAACAACCGGCTTGCGAATCCACATTTGAATTCATTTATGTTTTTGAATGATTCGTCATTAAAATGATGAGAACACAATCGGGCATTGCAAATATGAACCCCTAACCACCGATTCTTCACATGCTCGTCCCTGGGCAATGAAAACAAAGTGGCTGAACTATCTTTGCATTGTAGAACAGCATCTTCTCGACATGGTGCTATTCAGCTGAAGTATTTGTGTTCTAGACTTCAAGTTTACACTTCCGTCTGTGCGCGCAGTAACTGGGCACTTCCAATATGCTTATGTTTCGTATTTACGTCACTACGAAACAGCTAATGACTCATTTCAAAAACAATTCATTTCATAGACTCAGAGTCGACTCTCACTTTTGAAAGACAATAACTTTATATATGGTGCACTTTCAGATATAAATCTTTGCAGGATGTTTTCATTCCCTTAGAGCTTTATTCCACACCACATGAACAGTCTTTAATATGAGAAAGTGCAAATGAGATGGCCAAATGAACGAAAATGGTGTTACTTTTGTTTCCAGACTGTGTCACGAGTTAGCTTTGTATAATAATATTATTCAAACATTTTGCATTCAGCGCCAACGACCCTAAGAGGTTATATAATGCCATTTTCAATTTGATTCTTTAGGGTCTATATTAAAAATTTGTAATATACTTGAATTAAAAATTCTCATTAGTATTGTAAGAAAACACTAATTTTACCTGGTCAAAAATACCCCTGTTTTAATAATGATAATGAGCTTCGGTCACTCCGCCCCTCTGTTCTGTGGGGATTTTTTGACAACACATGAACGCATTGATGTTGCTCGTGGGGAATATTCGCTTTGAAAACAAAACTCAGCCACGGTCCGGATTTAGGAACATCAAAATGACTGCTGTGTTCGTTATTACACCTGTGTACAGAACATTACAATCGCCTAGACACCATTCTGCTCCAGTGTATCAACAATGATGATGACAGCTCGCTCAGGGCAGGGATGTGTTGAACGCTGCTGTCAATCAACAATTGTGGAAGGGGCGTCTGCGGTTCGATTTGAGACTGGGAAAAGCATAGGAGATTAAAACACTGGATAGATTTTTTTATCATTATATGATGGTTTTGTACAGGCTCTTCCAACACACATTTCAGTACAATCAACTTGAAAAAGTGCTTGCACCATTATATGACTCCTTTAAAGATTGGAATATATCATGCCAGCATTATGTAGCCAGATGTAGTATGTCCAGCAGGTTGAAACCTGAAGGTAGAGCCAGAGCTGCCGATAGTAAAACTTTATTTCAATACTTTAATTTACTTTTGGATAACAGAATGTCCAAAATGTACCTTTGACATAAAGTGTAACCCTGTTGTTTATCCAGTAGTAGATGACTGTTTTTTGATTATCAATGGCCCTAAGCAGGGTCATTTTAGTGATAAACAGAAGAAAGAACGACATATGTGTTTTTTAGACTATATCTGTTTTTCCACAGCATGCCGACCACTATGTGGGTGTTTGCATCTTTCATTCATCCACAGTAGTAGAGTTCCCTTGAGAATGTTAGCAGATAAAACTAATGTAATGTGACCACAATTCACACAGTCACAGTCAGGTTAGATGAGATGAGCTCAAAGCTGTTTAGAGATACCGTTAAAGTAAACACTTCAGTTTCAAAGTGAGAGTCACTCGAGTGGACTTTCCATAAGAGATCTGGACAGAGGCCAGAGCTTTAATGTGCCACACAGAAAGGACAACTTGAGTTCATATCAGGAGGAAATGAGTGATGATATGGAGGTCACTCAAGGTCACATTGAAGTCATCATGAGATGGAAGTTGTGATAGTATTTTCTTCCCTATTGTGACATATATCCGAGTAAAGCAGCTTTTTCAACAAGAAAAAAAATGGTGGCTTTAAGGTCAGCTAAAAATAAAAGCAAAACTTTTGGTCAGAGGTGTCACATCTGTTGCTGACATTTTGACCTCTTCTGTCTGTTAAACTCACCAATAAGGAATGAACCCATTTTGTTAGCATGTTCACATCTAACAATCAGTCTTGTGTGCATTTGTTTTAGCTCTTCAAGTGGCTCTTGAACTTGCTGAACAGGTCGGTGCATTTCCGCAGCTCTGTCTCCGTGCCGACCGTAACTCCGCCTACCACTCTGTCTTTGACTCCTCCTCCTTCACCCAAGCCATGCAATATGAGTTTGACCATGGTCTGCCAGTCATTCCAGCTGAAGCAGTCACTGGGGCAACAAAATTCAGCTCAGGCTCTGGGAGAGGAGGGACGTTCTCTAAGAGTAAACTGTAAATGGACAGCTGATTGGAAATAAGTCAGTCTGTGTAACTACTGTAGGTGGACAACCAGAATGACGCAACCACCAGGTGGCGCAAAGGGACATTTAGCGAAAGCAAAACGTAATTATGTAAAATTAGCCTACATTTTAAATAGAATATAGCAAACTTTTATAGCAGAACATTTTATGAATCAAAAAATAGGCCTATCTCGCAGTCAGTGAAAATAAACTGGGTGCAATCAATGACGCTAAACTATTGAGGAATGAGAAGGTTGAAGAGCACTTCTCTCACACGCGCACACACTGACTGCTGAACAACCGAACTTCTGGGAATTTCTCAGAGAGAAAAGTTGTGGTCGAGTGGTAGAACTGAGGTTTCAATCATTTTGATGACACTGTTTCTAATCCCAAATAGTCATGGTATTTATAAAATTACCATGCATTTCCATTTTACACTAAGGAACAAATCTCATCCTGTTTACATCCAGTTTTGAGTTTACATCAGTTCTTCAAATCAGTTCTGTTAAAAAAAAAAAAAAAAAAAAAATAGAAAATAAAACTTAATGGGGTAACTTAAAATAATGTTTAAAAACAACCAAGGCGTGATTTGCCGGTGGGGGATTTCCCCCCTCCACAGTAAAAAAAAAAAAAATAGAAAATAAAACTTAATGGGGTAACATAAAATAATTTTTAAAAACAACCAAGGCGTGATTTGCCGGTGGGGGATTTCCCCCCTCCACAGTAAAAAAAAAAAAATAGAAAATAAAACTTAATGGGGTAACATAAAATAATTTTTAAAAACAACCAAGGCGTGATTTGCCGGTGGGGGATTTCCCCCCTCCACAGTAATCAATGCTATAATTAGCTTAAATAGACAATATCATACATATATATATATATATACACAATATATATATATACGTCTCTGTGACATGGCCGAGTGGTAGAACATGTAGAACATGGGATCGAAGCCAGATTAAACATGGATTATTGTAGTTAAATTTATATTTAATTTAAGCATTTTGGTTGACAACTGAAGCATGTTTTGTTGAAATGTTTTCAATATTGAATATATAAAGAAATTAATTGATAATAATCATAATCTGTAAGCCTATTTAATTCTTCATTTAACAAAGAATGCTTAAAGACAAATGCTGCCGAGTAACATCGTTTAGTAGGCTAACTGCAAGCCCTGAAAATGTTTTAATTTTATGATCATTTGGTTTAATTTATTACACTTATGTTTCAGTTAATAAATCTACTAACAAATTAAAATAACACAAAATAAAAGACAAGTAACCTATTGACATAGCCTTTCTAAATTATAGAAAAACTGGGCACACAGCCTAATGTTAAAGTGTGCCTTGCTTAAATTTGATGGAATAATATTTTTTTTTTCAGTATTGTGATTATGAATTCGTTTAACTGCAATGTTTAACTTGAATCTATCTGCGACCTCATCTCTCAATCAGCAGTGGCCAATTACGTCATACAGAGAATAAACGGACACTTAATAAACTCGCTAATACAGTTAATAAATTCGCTAATAAAAAGTTAAGCTTCAAGAACGGTAAAACACGTCAGCCAACAGCATGTAATGAGATTCGATATCGGATCGTTTGAAGCTCCATGAGGTTGAGGTTGATTCGTTACTCATAGAGCTACCGTTAGCATGCTGATGCAGCATCGTCTTATACGCTTGTACAGAATCATTGCTGTATCTCTTAGAAGGAAAGGTTCTATATAGAACCTTAAAAGGTTCTAAAGCGCTACGTATTTGGAACCCCCAAAATGCAATGCATGTGAATGATCACAAAATTCAATATATGTGGGTTTAAAAATGTAATTAATCAATATCAGACGAAGAGTTCCATTTCAGTTTTTATCCTCCAAAATCAGCATGATTAAAATGTGATATTAAGTTACTACAACAGTTTAATAAACTAAAATAAATAATTTAATTACATACTACAAAATGTTGCAGAATAATGTAATATATGAACGAATAATAGCTTTTAAAGAACCTTTGTGCCAAAAGGGTTCTTCTCATTATAGAACCTTTTTTAGCATTAAATATCCTTTGGAGTTGAGTAAAGAACCCTATGCTACATAAAACCCTTTTTTCTAAGAGTGTAGCCTGGATATATTTCCACTGCAGTGTTTTAAGTTTTCATTAATTATTCAATTTAATTTAAGCATTGTGATTATTAATTAATTTAACTACTGTACATTTCACTTGAATTAATCTGCTAGTGCTACCAGCTTTCAATCGCTCTGAATGAGCCGCGGTGCATTCAACGGACACTTTTTAAAGTTTGTGATTGTAGCGCCTCTTAGTGGCAAAAGGCAGCACTACCCAAATTTTACCACCGCGGCAGAATGGTGGCGGTAAAAGCCTTACTTTGGTTGTCTACCTACCTTACTGTAAATAATATAGATATTAATGTTAATTTTACAGCGAATCACATGTTAGACTCTATGATAAACAGTTTATTTGGTCCTGTCCAGCTCTGGGTTAAGATAAAGCCCGCTACGAATAATGGTTTGTTGACAACTGGAACAAGTTTCTAATTTGTAAATCATAAGAATGTGCATTTGTAAATTCATCTCAGATCAAGTTCCCCTTGGTGTATTTGATATTGCTAATCAAATGTATTAAAAATCATACTGAATAAAATTTGTGTGAAATTTGTGTGCTCTCCTGTGCAAAAATTCACTCTGGATGGGTGTTTACTAGCTAAAAATCAAAAGAGCCCACCCACAAGATCTATTAATATTCAGCCAGAACAACATTGTAAATGAGTTTGCATAGACATGTAACAGTTCACCTTCTCTGCTGCTCAAGCTGCACAATTTGATGCATATACAGTATAAACATAACACAATATCTCCAAAAGTTAAATACTTAGGGTTAGGAGTTTGTTCAAATTATAACCCAAGAGGAGTAGTAATACAATGCAAAGCATTGAATTGTTATTTATAATAAGATTCGAATTGTTAACATTAATGAATGCATTACTTTAGGTATCATGAACTAGCAATGAATGTTTTACAACATTTATAAATCTAGGTTAATTAATTTATTCATAATATGAATAATGCATATATTATATGCATTTTTGACATTTCAAGTTGTTTAAATTAATATGAGTTATTTTACAACATTAATTTAAAATAAGTTATATTGGTGATTAGCCCATATTGATAATGAACAATACAGTATTAATGCAGCAACATTTACCTAGATCAGTGGTTCTCAAACTATGCGACTCAAAGGCCCCCTATTGTTGTATAAAATGAATAAACCCAACCCGATCACACTAAATGCTTTTTTATAGCATGCATGCATTGTCTTGTAATTTATACGCGAAAGTGAGTTTTTACGTGCATTTGATACGCATTGGTTAGTTAGGGTAGGTTTAGGTGTGTTAGTTAGAATATTTGGAATTTTCCTGGGACCCCTGGTTCAAAACCACTAATTAATGATTCTGTAATAAACTGTTTGTGTTGTTGTTTCACTTGTACGTTTTTTTCAAATTATCTAAAGCTTTGGTTTAAATGACTGTTTGTATGTAAGGTTACAATATTAATCATCTTTACAGGGCTTAAATCAGCCAACTTGATTACGAGCCCTCAAAAATGTGTTCTTCGTTAAAACTTTTACATTTACTGCGGGCATAGAGGGTTTACATAACGCAGAATAAACAACACAGTATATATATATATATATATATATATGTGTGTGTGTGTGGGGGGGGGTCTTTAAAGTGAGCCTTTGTCTAGACAGTATGATGACAGGAGTGTTAACTGACCCCACACAGAATCACGCACAGGTCATTCATTATGCTTCTGACAGCCGATTAGCGACTGACCCTTGAAGAATGGATGAGTTCTAACATGAATGCTGCACTTTTGCATTCCTTAATGTCTTTGACTCTCATCACTACTGTGATCGGATCCCCTGAAATAAATGATCATGTCAAGTCACTTACACCCTTTTATGTTAAAGTTATCATTACCATGAACAGAATAGGTGCAGTGACATGCTGTGCACACACATTGTCTAATGGCTGTGTGCGAGTGTGTGTTTTAACACTTTCAGCTACTGATAGAAATACATTTGCACAGGAATGCTCAGCTTTTATCTCTCTTATCTTGTCAGTCTCTGTTTTCTCTCACAGCTTAAAATTCTTTCTTTCTTAAAGGAATATTTCACCCATGAATGAAAATTCTATTATTATGTAGCGTGTTGCTCCAAAACTCTACAAAAAGCAAAAATCAAGGTTATGGTGAGGCAATCACCATAGGGAGACACCAAGGGAGACAATATATGGAGGATTTTATAAAAGCACTGGCATTAACTCTTCTTTCATCATTCAGAGTTATTTTAGGGTTTTAGAATATATTTTAAAATGTAATGTAAACCAAATGAAAAAAAAAAATACTAAACTTTTTTTTTTTTTTTTTTTTTTTTTTTTTTTTGCTGGGGAATCAGAAATGGCAAACAGTTTCTGTGATGGTTTGGGTTAGGAAATAAAATATTTGATTACATCAGTATAAAAAGCATTACGCCTATATGGAGGATATACCCATAAACCACAAGTGTTTAGGCTATGTATATATGTATGGTCCTGGTAAACCTTGCATTATGGGGAGAAAATATCCCCACAATAATGGCAATCTCCTAAATTCTTATCCTTTTGGGGACATTTTTGGTGTCCTAAAACCATGACATGGGTATTACAACATGGTTTTAGGACACTTCCTGCCCTCTTAAATCAAATTCCTTAAAAATCATACTAAATTATGTTTTATTTTTATTTTATTTTTATATATATTAATAAAATACCAAATGTTTTCTATGATTGGTAGGTTTAGAGGTACGGTTAGTGTAGGATATAATGTACAGTATAAAAACCCATAAAGTGTGTGTGTGAGTTTGAGTGATGGGCTACCAGTGATTGGACTGATGAAGGGAAGGGAAGGAAGGGGGTGGCTGGGATTGGTTTGCATCTCTGGTCTTTGATGCATGCTTTTCGGCTCCGTTAGATAAGATTAGCCACTTGGAGATAACAACACTCAGCCCTCTTATCGATCTGAATCTCACCAGACACAACATAGTGTGTGAATGTGTGTGTGTTTTTTGAAATCTGTCTTCATATCATAAACATGTAAGCTCTCTCTCTTATTATAGTAAGTTCAGTGAGTGTCTCATCTTTAAAGCGCTGCACCTGACCCTGACCACAATCTCTAGTTTGCTGTCTATCTGTCTGATGTCTGTAATCTTAAACATCAGAGAACTCCTTTAGAAATACCCGAGAAAGACAAGTGATCAAGATAAAACAATGCAGTCAATTCAGCGCCTTGTCAATTATCCATTGTGTTTTTGTATTATTATTATTTAGAAAAGCTATACTATATACTTTTACAACATATGTAGGCTACACGTGGTGGTATCACCAACAGCTGTAATATCCTATAGAAATACAATTGACTGATTGCCATATGATATAGATAGCACAGTTCTTAAAGGGATAGTTCACCCAAAAATGGAAATTCTGTCAAAGTATTTTTTTTTCCTACTATGGAAGTCAGTGGCTACTGTCAGCTGTCTGGTTACCAACATTCTTTAAAATATCTTCTTTTGTGTTCACCAGAAGAAAGAAACTATCTGTATGGATCTACTTAAGGGTGAATAAATGATGACATAATTTGCATTATGTGTGTACTGTCCTTTTACTTAAGGGTGAATAAATGATGACATAATTTGCATTATGTGTGTACTGTCCTTTTAAGTTAAAGTTAAGTTAAGGCACTTTAAAGAATATTATATTAAGACAAAAACAATCATGGTATATGTACAAAAAAACATGATGTTACCATGGTGCCATGTCCAAAAACATGGTAACCCCATTGCACTGCACTGTTTGGTGCTATTGTTTTTGTCAGTGCTGTAATTTTCTGTGTCGTTAGGGGTCACGCTTCGGCCATTAAATGGCTCGATTAACATTGCGCAAGTTATAAGATTTTGTAGTGACTTAACACTTATTGAAATAACTATTACTGCATCTATAAAATGTAATCACTTTGTGCTTTCGGTCCCATTATGCGCGACTAAACTAAAACATGAACACGAAACGCAACTGGTGCTCTTATAATGAACTGAGTTTTCTAGATATGGGTCTTGCACTGAGGAGAACTGGAGCGTTACGGCCGCGTCGCGTCGCTCGTATGCAGACTATAGACACCTGACATGAGAGCTGATATTGTCCTTTAAATGTAAAAGAAGACACGTAGACGTGTGCGTAGAGATGAGTTTGAGGATGTTAAAACTGTCTTGTAAAGCTCCACCTCTGGACGCGCGCACTGGGGCGGGCTCGAGACGCGTCTACCTGCTTCTGCCCCGTTATTTAAAAGCTTCTGAGACTGACGCGCTGTCCACTCTACAAACATAGGCTAGCCTACTCTGTGGGGATTAGCCTATGGTTAAATCAAAGAAATAAACGGAAAAGATATATATATAATAAGAAAATACTGTCTTGGAAGTGACGGATAGTCTTTTCTTTATTCCTCGTTTTGAATAATAACTTTGAGGGGGCATACAGAAGTTTCCAGCTGTCTTCTGTCCGGAACGAAGTATCACGCCGAAGAATTGATGGAGATTTTGCGAATTGAAAAATTCCCTGGACAACTGCATCTGCTTTGCACGGGATAATACAGTTTTACCGAGACAGGTTACTGTTACGACCTGGTTTACAGCCTGATCATTCGAAAACCTATAGTCAATAACTTTTTTTTTTATTATTTATTCTGTTGTTATCTATGTACTGGTGCTTTAAAGTACCCAGCACACTGACCTGAAGATCCTATAATGTAACATAAAGAAACTTTTAATCTCAAGGGGAACACACAGGCAAAATGGTTCTCAATAAGAAAAAGGTTCTTTTCTGAACAATTGAAGAACCCAAGGTCATATGGCGTGAAGCAGAGGAGAAGAGGACAGGACAGGACATTGTTTTCCAAGTGATTTTATATTTAGGAGTGATTACACCCTCATCATCATCATCATCTTCACAGACTGGATGTAAAGATGAAAAGCGTCTGGTTTGCTCTGCTGGGCTTCTTGTGGAGCTCATATTTGGCAGGTAGTTCTGTACTGAACGGCTCTGAGCTTCAGCCCAACTTTATACATCGGAGGTTACGGAATCAGGAGAAGAGAGAGATGCAGAAAGAGATTCTGTCCATACTGGGACTGAACCACAGACCCAGACCTCATCTGAACGGCGGCAAATATAATTCAGCACCCCTCTTCATGCTGGATCTGTACAACACCATGTCCACTGAAGAGAAAAGCGACGTGGATCAGTACAGATCACTGTTTACCACCACACGACCCGCTTTAGCTTCACTTCACGACACCGAGTTCCTGCACGACGCGGACATGGTCATGAGTTTTGTAAATTTGGGTAAGATGAACTTTTACATTTCCTATTTCACGCTTGTAGTCTATCTATTTTGTTAGAGATGATGCGCAAGGATACGGGTCGCACTACAAACCCAAACGGATTCTGTGCGCCAATGACATATTTACAGATTAATTTCCTCCACAAAGTAATTCAATAATGTATTTAAATAATAATGTTACCATCTAAATGACTTAAAGGTGTTTCAGGTCTTTCATGTAATATTTTAAAGTAGCACAAGCACCTCCCAAGCAAAAATTTCGAAAAAAAGGTTATATTTCAAATGATAGCTGGTGAAACATATTGATTATTAAATGAGCTACACTTATGGTTATTCTGCTTTAAGTGGATTAAATCCACTTAAAATTATCGTTGGTGTAGCCTATAAGTGTAATGATATTCAGATTTTAGGCATGTCTGGGACTAGTGAACTTATTTGTCTTTATTTTAAGCAGGACATCTATTTTTTAACATTTAAAGGCGGACAAACTTATTTTTGTGAAACATTTTGCTTGAACGTTCTTCTGCTGTTGTATTTGATATGTTACCTTTGCAATGACATTTACATATTTTTTTAATGTGAAATATGCACCTTTTGTGGCCATTGCCTATGTAAATATTTTGCTTGTAAATACATTGTATAAAAGAAACCTTTTAAGGAATCGTATAAAAAATACCTACTTAACAAATGTCTGTCTGTTTTCTGATGGACTGTATTGCCTTCAAAACCTTCAAAAAAAAAAAAAAAGACTACTTAAAACTGAAAACCTTCAAATTTTCTAATCAGGCTTTCTCAATTTTCAAAGTTTGTCTTGACCAAGTTTTTATCTAGTTCATTTTATTATTCCACCTGGAGTGAACATTTAGATTTTGTTCAGTCTTAGGCAGTTGAATTTTGTATCTATTATAACTACATGGAACGTTAATTAAAGTGCACATTGTATTGTCAATCACTTTGCTCATATACCACGGTAAGTGAAGTACCTTGGAGTATCATCATGTTCATTTGTACCAGATGCAGCCTAAGGTTTTTGAAGGATATCGCCCTTCAACACTTTTTAACTGACCTCTATCAAGCTCACAGTGACCCTGAGCACAGTGTCAGACCACAAGTCTGTTTATGCTCAGGGATTCTGTGTGGTTTGCTTCAGTAAACACAGACCTCATTAATGGAGGGAGTATTCGCATCCAAGATTCACTTGTTTATGTGAACTTCCCTCGACAGGGGCCAGGAGTCGCCCAATTAAGTTAATTATAACAATAATAAAAAAAAAAAACTCTTCTGGCTCTACTCACTGGAACTATTGGCCAATTCTTGAATCAGTTGCCAGAGAGGCTTTTGTGCGAGTTGCGCCATTCTAGTTGTTGGTTGGGTTCATTGCAGAGGTCATTTCTCTCTGTTTTACAAGACAATAAAATGTTTTTCTTTCTTATCTATTAGCGGTATTCTTCAGTTAGTTGGGCAATTGATTGACACATGTGATTGACTGACATGTTGGGCACATTTTTAGAAATAAGCAGAATACCACATCATACCACAGTGTGTTACCCGAGACTGGCTTGAAGTGGCTTTTCATATTTGCCGTGTGTCAGTGACTCGGTTAGTTATTGGATATTTTGCATTAGTATATTAATATGGTTTTGTTCTGGACTCATGCAACGTAAGTCATATTATTGTTTTGGGCGACTCATTCTTCTCTGGTCATCTAGAACACCCATGACTATAGTCTCAAATATAGCTGAAAAGGGAAGCATTGGTATATTTTTGGATACAGAAACTGACCAGTATTGCAACTCATCCAGAAATAGCCAGGCTTGTCAAAAACATTTGGATAGTCAATGTGAGTCATCTTATGACTGAAGAAATAATAGTACAAATTTCCTTTTTATGGTGTGGCTTTATGAGTTGTCAGGACTTCTGCCTCAAAGAGAAACTGTATGTTGTAAACCATTACATAAATATTCAACCCAAAAAACATATACTGTCTCTCAAACCCAAATATGTCAGTTCTGTCTCAATTTATTCACCTTCATTCACTCACATAATTCTAAACCCAAATGACTGTTTTCTGTGAAGCTCAATGTTAGGCAGGATGTTTATACTCTTTTTTTACATACACTGAAAGCATACTATGACCATTCCCAAATATCTGAAGAAGAAAAAATAGCATCATAAACGTAGTCCATAAGACTCATGCGCTATATTGCTTTATGGCAACACATTCTCATCCGAAGACGTCATCTAACTGACGCTTTTGACCATACGTCAACATCCAACGTTTTAACGTCAGTTAGTTGATGATCCTAGGGCGTCATCCAACTGACGCTTTACCTTAGATGACGCGGGTAGGTTTAGGTCTGGGGTAGGGTTAGGATTAGCTGACTGATGTTAAAGGGTACCCTAAAACTTCGGATATTGACGTATGGTCAAAAGCGTCAGTTATATGACGTCTTGGGATGAGAAAGGGCTGTTTATGGTGGTTTTCTGATGCTTTACAATAACTTTTTGTAAGGAACAGACTGAAAATGAAATTGTCATTCACTTTTAAGTTATTCCTCCAATGTAGCACTTAAAGGAGTAGTTTACTTTAAAAAAAACTTTTGCTGATAATTTACTCACTTCCATGTCATCAAAGATGTCCACATCTTTCTTTCTTCAGTCGAAAAGAATATAAGGTTTTTGATGAAAACATTCCAGGATTTTCTCCATATAATGGACTTCATTGGGAACCAAACGGTTCAAGGTCCAAAAGACAGTTTCAGTTCAGCTTCAAAGGGCTTTAAACAACACCAGACGATGAATCAGGGTCTTATCTAGGACCCTTCGAGTCACGTTTTGAAAAAAGATTTGTTCATTTTGAACAGGAGAGTCACGAACGCTCATCACAGAACAGAGCAAGGCAAGCATTTGTGCTTATAAAACTTAATCTTTTTATTTTTTTTAAATGACCGATCGTTTCACTAGATAAGACCCTTATTCATCGTCTGGTGTCGTTTAAAGCCCTTTGAAGCTGCACTGAAACTCTCATTTGGACCTTGAACCGTTTGGTTCCCATTAAGGTCCATTATATGGAGAAAATCCTGGAATGTTTTCATCAAAAACATTAATTTCATTCATTTCTTTTCGACTGAAGAAAGAAAGACATGGACATCTTGGATGACATGGGGGTGAGTAAATTATCAGCAAAAGTTTTTTTTTTCTCTTACTTAAACTTGATTTGTTATTGTAAATGTAAGTATGCAATTTGAGAGCAGATGTTCACTGAAGTCAAACTTTGAGTTTGACAGTACTGCATTTGAGTGATCGTTATGACAGATTCAGGAGCATCCAATACTCTTGATGTCAATCCCAATTTTCCCAGGCCAGTTTTGCTGTTTACTGAAGGATAGAGGATACCCTAAGCTTTTCTTGGCACAGAGAATTTTGAGGAAACTCCCATCTCTTGTTTGCACTGGTAATATTGTGTGTTTGTCTTTTTTTTTCTTTCTGGATGAGAGGGATCTTCCAGTAATCCAGGGAAAATCCATGGGGGGAAAAGCATTTCTGTTTTCTCTCCTTTGGTCCATCATTGCTTTTTCCACCTGGATCTTTTGTGTTAACTCACATTTACTTCTATAACACATTTCAAACTCATTCTTTTCCAAGGCACACGTCTTAACTATATAGACAAGCTGTCATTTCCCCACTTAGCAAAGTCAACAGCCACCCAGGAGAGCACTGGAGAGTTTCGCTTTTGGCCTGTAAAGTAATAAAAGTGACCCACGCATAGAGTTTTGGGGGGTTTTCTTGAAGCTTAACAAGGTCTAATAATAATCCTTGCTTCTTATAACTGTGTGAATCCTGTATTTCACAATGCACTTTCATTTCACTCTTCCGCTCTTAATAACGTCAGTGTGCTGAGCTCCAAATCTGGGCTGAGCTGTTTGTTTTGCACCACAATGTTTCTAACCCCACATTTTATCACATAATTAGTTTGCCGGAATCAATCAATGAATTGTTTGATCTTGGCAGGTTATGGACTACATAGATGACCCCTTCTGAAAGACCGCCTGTGGCTCACTGACACAGGAGGGCTGTATCACTACTAGTCTGCATGCGGGCGTTAACATGGAAATTAAGTAAGGAATTTGAGTTATGCTTTAGCTCTGTAAAGAAGGAAAAGGATTTTCTCATGGGTGACTCAACAGACTGATAAGAACTGTTGAAAACACACAGCAAATGAGACTACTGGGCAGACACAAATCTGCACACTTTTTTGCACTGACTTTGAAGGGAAATTGGCAAGTCTGTGGGATAGATTCAGTGTGGCAATGTGTACCGCATTACTTTGTAATTTATTTATTTACTTACTTAATTACGTTAAATGGAACTGCACTTTCATTAGCACATTTACGTGCAGTAACTTATCTAAAACTTTCATCCAAAGTGACTCAAATGGTAGCTGAGAACGTTTTCAGTCATATAAGTCAATGTGAATTTGACAATGACCCATACTTTCTCAGTGCATGTACCTGGTCTTTATGTGCACAACTCTTTGGTGAATGTCATGCTACCCATCAAAATATGATAACTTGTTTTGCCATTTTATCACGCTGATGTAAGTTCAAGGGTTTTGTTTTTAAAATAAGTTTGTTATTTATTTGATGTGGTGGTGTGATGTCATGATTGACAGCTGTGATTGACAGGTTCTCTGAGCGAAGTAGTCACTGAAGCACAAACAGACTTTTTTTCGTGATCTGAGGAGGACTGAGGAGATTGGAGCTTTAAATTTAATATCTCAATTTCTATGATTAATTTAAAAAAATGCAGGAGTGTGTGCTTGCAATGGGCTCTATGCACGGCGTTATTTCCGGTGAAGGATTAAGGATGCTCGATAACTTCCGCCGATCATAGAGTCCAATGCAATACCGATAATTTATATTGAATTTTATACTCCATGGTTATACTAATGAAACGTTAGTCACAAAAACAGATAAAACAGACACCCCTCGTTGTGTTTATG